CATATAGCCATTCTGTGTCGCGTGCTTCCTGTTCCTTGATTTGGCTGGGAGTCAGACGTTATTCTGGTTGCCTGAGCAACTGGATAGCTAGGAAATAAACGCTAATTGAATAATTTGTAGCATCAACCTAGCACACAGGAAAGATGTTTGTGTTATTTTCGAAGTAGTAAATTTTCGAGCTGTCTTTGAGTGTGAATCATGACTGTTCAGGTGGTGGTGAATTAGGGGGCAGGACCCAATCCACTTCTCAGAGCGCTTCGTTGCAACGTTAAGGCAAGTGCATGACGAGCTTGTGTTTGGGCTTTACACCTATTGTTCGAGTTTTCCTTTGGTTTCAAGTATTTCGTTAAATTTTCTAGTTCATGTTCAAGTTCCTGTTTCCTGAGATTCAAGTTTCAATTGTTATTTACATTCCATTCAAGTTCCGGTGGATCCAGATGTGCAATTTGGTTCTTATGTTCAGGTTCCTATGAGTAAGTGCTGACCCCACTTATTCGGCTTTATCGGTAAATGCAAATGATTCAAGTTCGTCTGTTTCAGACGGAAACTACTATTTATTCGAGATTCCAATTCTCTGTTCATGGACTCCTGTGCGATATTTGAGTTTTTGGTTCTAATTGCACTTGCTGAGTGTTTTTACTCACCTTTATGTTTATTTGGTTTTTATGTACCAATTGATCGCGCGACATGCATGGAAATAATTGGGAGTAGCACCTTCATGAGCACAAACATTTAGTTACTTATAGTTTATTCCTTAATTCTAAGTTTTCGCCACTGTAATGGTTTTATTAAAGGTCGTTTAAACGTGGTTTGATGTAGATGGTCGCTGCAGCGGGGAATGGTTATTCTATTTTATTTGGGTTGGGCCGTGATGCTTATGTTTTTAGCTATGCTTATATATCAATTATGAACTGCGATTATTTTGTCATGGATGTCTAGTTCTTAGGGAAGATGTTGCCAAAATTTTCAATATCTTCTTTGCTTTGTGAGATTTATGTGTTGTTGGGTAGCCCCGGTGTAGTTTCTAGCGGGGGTGTTATAAGTGTGGCTAGCGTCCGGATGTCCGGACGTCCGCGCCTGCCCCACCTGCTGCTGTTGCACGCCCGTCTGCTGTTGCTACGCATGCCCGCTTGCCGTCGCTATGCATGCTGCTACACCTGCGCGCGCTTGCCCGCCTGCTGCTGCGTCCACAGGGACCGCCTCCACCTGCGCTCGCTTCCCGCGCCTGTTACTAAAAACACTTGCAACATGAAGCACGTGTTGCAACATACGTTTAAAACATGTGAAATATTTAGAACATACACTTGCAACATATGTATATAGCTACGTAACATATGCAACATCCAAATAAAACACTAACAACATACGTCTAAAATAGATGAAATATATACTTGCAACATACGTGTATCGCTATTGCAACATATACAACACCAAATCTAATTTTGCAACATCTAGATGAAACATACGGAGCTCGACACCGGCGCGGAAACATGTATCGCTATTACAACATATGCAACATTCACTGAAACGCATGAAACACATGGACCTCAACATCAGCACGGATCTCGATGCCACGGAGTGGCGCGGAGATCCTCAGTGCGGAGCTTATCGGCGGCACGAACCTCGGCAGTGGCCTCCACAGGCTGATGGAGCGCAGCCGTGGCGGGAGACGTGGTGAATCCGCGCGGGCAGTGCGCGCGGCATACGACGCGGGCGGGCGGGGTTGGACTGGACTGACGCCCTACAGGAGCATTACCATTGACAAATAGGTTCACCCGTCAGTTTTTTTTTTCCTATTTCTTTTTCTCTTCCTTTCATCGTCCTTTCTCCCGAAGTCCCCGTATACGTATATTTTAAAAAAAAATCCCAACGCAATCGCAAGGCGCTGGCCTCCATCGCCGCCGCCTGCACATCCATCGTCGCCGTTCGCGCCTCCGGAGCCCGCGACCGAAGCCTCGTCCCGCGCCCGCGACCAGCGACCGGAGCCCCACGCCCGCGGCGACGACTGGGCGGCCGCCGCCGTCGCCCTACCCCTGGTGCCAAGGTGTCCATCTCCGGGAGCTTCGCCGGCGACGAGAACCCACCAGGTACGCCCACGGCCGAATCCTTCTCTTCCTTTTCCTTCTGTGCGGAACCGAGTATCCAAACCCAACCAATTTGTATTCGTATCCGATCTGATCCAATTACAAGCGTCTTGGTGCGTGCAGAGCCATGCTGGGCGCGCGCGTGCAGCTGAAGGGGTGGCAACAGGCGGCTGTTGCATTTGGTTCTGCATTTGGGGCCTTGCTTGACCCAAGGAGGGCTGATCTTATAGCTACTCTTGGAGAGATTACTGGGAAGCCGGCATTCGAGCGTGTGTTGCAACGAATGAAGAACAGTGCAGAAGGCAGGGTAAACACATACTGCCCCCCTCTTGTGTGTTCTAGTTGTCCTAGACCATTTATGGCTGGGAATTCCTTGATAGATTTCGGCAATAGCAGCTTTTGTAAATCAAGTGCAGAATTACCACATTAGTGAAACACAGTTGTTTACTTGTTTTTCTCATTTGAGAATGAAATTTACACAACAATCACCAACAGGACGATACTCTGTTACTAGAATGGTTGTGAATACTGTTTTTTTTTTCTCGAATACGCAAAAGATTTGCGTATCATTGTAATTAAGAAGAAGTAGAGTTTAACCATACACACGACGCGCTTCTGATGAGCGCCCTAGGAAGTCTTACAGTTTGACTGGACCTTCCTAGCAGACTGTTTCGAACTTCGATATTACATAAAAGCAAACAACCGAACTACGAGCAGCGCAGTAACCAACGGGGCTTTAGGTCTCCGCTAATGGCCGCGCGACTCAGCTCCGTCATCCGAGAAGAGCCTTGTACCAATCGTAGCAGCGGTCGCCGGGAACAGCTCGTCCAGTGCTTCCACTTCGCTCAACGTCCAGTTCCTTGCGAAAAAGTTGTCGTAAGCTCTCTTGGACGCGGATGAGATTGGACCTGCCGGCGGTGCAAAGCCCATCCTCCGCATGAGGAGCACCTCGCCCCGCTTGGAGATCGGAATGTGCGCCAGCGGCTGAGCGGCAATCCGTCTGCTCCGCTTTGGCATGGGTTGCCGTATGGTTGGCACCTTCTGCCTGGGTGGGCTGGCGATTAGAGGCGGCGTTCACTCGAGCTGCACCTCCTCAGTGAACCGTGCGAGACGTCGGGCAGCTTCGCGTGGTCGCGTCGCTGGGGGTGGCGCCACCCTCTGCGACGTCGGGTGCTCCCGCTCGTGGTGGCGTGAGTTGTGAATACTGTTTTCCCCATTTTCCCTGGATGTTTTAGCAAGCTGATGTAATCAAGGACATATCTGATTAGGTTACTGTCTTGTGATTAATCATGTTGTGGTCAATTGCTGTATCCTACATTAGATTTCCATAGTATGATTGGATTACCAATTTCATGTGCAACTAAGATATGCCAAAAGAAAAACTCATGTCAACTTGCAAGTTATATTACCAATTTCAGGTGCAGCTAAAATATTGTGGCCTGTATTTCTTCCCCCCGGTCTATGTTACTGACCGACTTATTCCTCCAGGAAGTTCTTTTGGAGCGTCCTCGTGTTATATCCTCGCAGGTTTCCCATGCCTGGGACATGCCTCAGAACACGTTTGGTGCAGCATATGCTCAGTTCATGAGATCAAGGAATTTCTCACCAGACGATCGCCCACCTGTCCGTTTCATGGACACTGACGAGCTTGCCTATGTTGCAACACGTGCTCGTGAGGTGCATGACTTTTGGCATGTGCTGTTTGGCCTTCCAACAAACCTGATTGGGGAGACTGCCCTCAAGGTGATAGAATTTGAACAAATGTTCCTCCCAATGTGCATGCTGTCGGTTGTAGGGGGCTCTGCAAGGTTCAGTGAGAAACAAAGGACGCTGTTTGTCCAGCATTACTTCCCATGGGCAGCAAAGGCTGGTCTCAAGTGTACTGATCTGATTTCTGTATATTACGAGGAGCACTTTCATGAAGACCTGGAGGAAGTGAGAAGAAACTGGGGAATTCTACCATGCCCTAGTCCCAAAAAGAGCAGTGTATAGACTATAGACTAGCATATTCTGCATGAACTTAGTATTTGTTTCATATTTGGTTCCGTTAGTTGCTCGGTTCTTTTGGAATAACGTCATGACCTAATGTTCCTGAATACTGATACGTTAGCAAGTTCGAAGTATGGAAGTTGATGTGCAGTTCTCTGGAATACCAACAGGTTACTTTGAGATGATATAAACCCCGAGATTTTACTTCAACGCTTTTAAAGTAGTCTGACTGGTATTCTGCTTTAGTTCAGTACTAGAAGATACCCCGCGCATTGCTGTAGGATTCTCTTAAAAAAATTGTTGTATATGAATTAAATCATCTATATGTTCTTACATCTATTCTTATCAAAATTGGTTGCGTTAAGAGGTTGGTTGGAAGTTAATGGGATGCTGCTATTAGTGGGAAATGATGTTGATAGTTAGTGGAAGATGGTGTGGATAACTTACATGTTAAGATAAAATTTGTAGCAAGGATTAGCTTTATAAGAGATATATAGATAGGATTAGCTTTATAAGAGATATATAGATATAGATACCAATGCACTTTTTCAGATTGAATTAGAAGGCCATAAACCCACCTTTACCCTCAGCTTCACGGGATCGGAGACAAACTGAGAAGCCAAGTAGTAATAATTTAAGATGTAAAAACGGAGAGATGTTTAAGGAAGAACAAGTTCTGCATCGTGTAATGTTAATAAACTTTTGATTATATGGCAAACGTGGCTTTACAAAAAATGGAAATGCCGCACAACTTTGCTCATGCTGGTTCATCAAATTTACACAAAACTCCTCTTGCCGAGGACATGGCTTCCCTCAAAAGAATCACGCTATTGTACATGTGAAACACACGAAAAGAACACAATAATTACATGGCTCAAAACTTACAACACAACACAAGGTAGTGTGTACTACCCAACACGGTATAAATTATGCAGCAGCAGTAGTGCACAATACACAGCGTATACGAGACTGGCCTGATGGGGAACCATCCTCATCGTCCGTGCCACTGTCACTATCCTGATTACTGTTTGATCTCATCGAGTCTAAACCACCTTCAAGGCAAGACAGATGATATGCATGGCAGCAGTAGAACACGATGACAGAGATGTCCTGGATAGGCAAAGGATCGAAGCACAAGCAACACCGGGCACCACATCTCGTTCTGGACTTGATATCTAGAGCCCGGACGCTAGATGATCTCTCATGCCCCCGAGAGGATCCATCATCAGTTCTGTTCCCATGTACCTCCTCGTCCATGCTTGCCATGTAGACACCACGCCGAGCCTCATGGTAGTATTTAACCAAAAGGTTAACACAGTCAGCCTGAACAAGGCAAGTTTCGGATGGAAAATACTCAGAATTCGAGACGATTGAAATACGGAGCAGCACAGTATAGGAAAGAAAGTTAACCTTAAGTATATCATTGCATCCATTTCGCAATGAAGTTTCTGTTCGGTAATCCGTCACAATTTTCACAAGACGATCCCGCAACCTATCAAAAGCATGAGTGAACACTCAAACCAGGGGATGAAATGGTTGGATTAAGGATCATGGCAGATCATTTAGAGCATTTTTGCCAAGGTTTCAGTCATGTAAGAAATTTTATAGCTCATAAATTTTTACGATAAATTTTGATGAAAACATACCGAGGTATTTCTAAGCCATCAGGAACCAAACTGACAATGTACAGAGGATCAAGATTGCCAACGGTATGTTCCAATAGATTCCCTACCTGCTCAACAGTCATAGAAATTAAAGTAAGAAACAAAGATGCCTCAGTCTAAGGAAGATTAAGCACCGTTTATTTCAGTTACCATTTCAGGCTTCTGGAGGCATTGTCTAATCAGTTCCTCCCACAGTTCATCATCATGTTGCTCTGTAACAAATTCAACAGCCTGTATGCATTTCAAGATTTATGTTACTGTTCAATCCCATATATAAAGTTAGCTAATATAGAACAGGATGTCTCAGAAATGGTAATATAATGGATAAGCAAGTTAGAACCTCCTGCATGTCTTCCAGTTTGTTTATAATTGTCGAAAGAGCTTCCTTAGCATTGCCCATTCGACCAAGGACAAAAACCTGCTCCCTTACAAGTTCCTTTTGTGCAAAGATTCCATATGCCTGAATAACAATAACAAATTATCAACCTATAGTTAACTAAAGAGAAAAATTTATGATGTGATTTTTTGGGGAAACAATGACCTTGTCAAGCCTGTAATGCTGACTGGTTCGGAGGAAGGGTAGTAGCATCCTTGGCTCGTATTCTGCATAAAGCTCCACCTATAATGCAAACAGTTTTGACTTGCAAGTTATTGTCAAAACACAAAGTAAATGTAAAAAAAAAATTGAGGAAATGGACATAACAATGAGGGAGGCATTATTCCCATTTAAAGGGGAAAATATTTGGTGCAAACCACCCTCTTGGTGCAATCGTGAAAACCCTTTCAAAAACCCTACTTAGAGGTTTCCAAAATTATGAAACGATGCATATCCATAGTTCATCCATAGATGTACGTTGTAGCAAAAGTTGGGAGGCAAACTTATTGTGTGAAAATCCAAACAAAAATGACAAAACTCAGGTGCAAGTGCACTAGAAGACAAATTTCCTGGGAATTTGTCTTCTAATGCAAATACACATGAAATTTTTCATTTCCATATCAGTTTTTCTAGATTGATTTTGTTTCCAAACTTTTGCTACAATGTACATCTATGGATGAACTATGGATATGCATCGTTTCATAATTTTTGGAAACCTCCAAGTAGGGTTTTTGGAAGGGTTTTCACGATTGCACCAATAGGGTGGTTTGCACCAAATATTTTCCCATTTAAAGGCCCCTATGTTAAAATGTGGCACAAAAGGTACCTGCATATCATGAAAATCCTTTCCAGCATGTACATCTATCTCAAATAAAGCATGCAAATATAGGTGTAACAAATATCTCTTGTCACAGTTTTTACTGGTATGCAACAACTGCTCCACAACTTCATATGGGGGAATGATATCACGGTGTTGGATCAGTAGGTGAACTGTTCTTTTATTATCCACTATCATAAGATTGACAACCTGTAGAATATTAAAAAAAAGTGTTTCAGTGGAGGATATGGAAGGCTTTTTTTCTAAATCATATTGTATTAGCAGCTAAATTGGACTCATCCATTTTGGTACCTTATCACAAATGGCATCATGCAAGTTGTATTTCTCAATAAACTCGAATACTTCTGGCTTCAAGAGCTGAACCAAATGGATTTAATTAGAAAGTCTTTGGTATTTAAAAAAATATATTTTGAGATGTGCCTACAAATACAGCAATTTAGGATGTACTTACTTCAGCATAAAGAGAAAGTGCCTTTTCATATTGACCATTGATCACATACAATTCTGCTAATGCCTACATGGAACATAAGACAAAGATATCAATCAAAGAGTGAAAGCAAATGAAGTATATATATGTCTTACATCCATTAAACGATGTCCCTCCCCACCTCTTTCAATGAATCAGTCATCGATGAGGAGTTTAGCTGTGGCTCAATGGCAGATATGACCGGTGAAGCTGAGTATAATGTTGGTGGCCAATTTTTGATAGTAGTCAAGAGAAGTTCATGGAAAGAAGGATTGGTAGTTAGAGCAACAAGGGCAACCTACACAAGAAAATCAGAATAATTACAACAGATAGTGTTAAAACTAGTAATGGAACTTACAAGTTAGTACAACACCTCATACGCAGTATCACTCAGCTGAGGATTTTCTGTAGGTATATAAGGGACCAAAACAGGAAGTTGGCGAAGATGAGCAAAGTGGAATACCCATCTGTTGCATAAAAGTTTTGGTTAAAAAAAGGAATCAACTAACGCAGAGGGGGAGATCCATCAACATCTCACAAACTCATCAATGTTATACTAGATCATCTAGCAAAAGGTGATATCTGTGTATCAACATGCTTTTCTAACCTCTCCCATGCTGAAGGAGATCCTCGCAGCAACTTTGGGCAGCGCTGAGCAGCTTCAGCATATTTTCTTTCAATTATCAAGTGATCAAGGTATCTTGAACCCACCTGGATTAACAACATGAATGAAACAACTTTAATGCATAAAGTATTTCTAATGTAATTAGGTGTCCTTTTGTAAGGACAGGTCCTTCTCATAGATGGGCTCAAAAATGGTAGACCTTTATATATTGGCTGTAAAAGATGCCACACTTTTAGCTTTCTGAAAATACATGGGACAGTTTTCATGTATAAGATAAAGGAAAGTGAGACAGTTTTTCTTTTATCTGCATTAGTAGGGACAGTTTTCGTGACACTCTTTAAGAGTCTGTAAAATGACCTGTTTTGAAAGGAAACATCTATTTGTGCATATAGAGGTCTCATTTTCTGAAGAATAGCTAACCATCATCTTAAATATGGTATAATAACCAATACCAAGAGAGCTCAATCATCATGAGAGCTATTTAACAATGCACACTATTTCTCTAGTTCACCTCATCAAGAAGCTCAGTGCGTCCTTGCACTGCCTCAACTGCAGCCAATGCTTTTTCATGGCAACCATGTTGAAGAAGCCAAGCAATATGATCTTCAGCATCTCTAATCAGAAGGTGCACACTATATCAGTCATGGGATTATTTTGGGGGAAATTTTGCCACAGGACACTCAAAACACCTTATTTTTTACTGAAAGATATTGGAACAACTGATTTTTGCTGCTGGACACTACAAAATTGTGTATATTCGCTGATGGACATGGTTCAGTGTCCTCCAGAAAATGTATGGAAAAGATCAATTATTTCTAACATTAAGCTGGACGTCACTAACCTGTGTCCCATAAGAAATATACACAAAGTTGTAGTGTCCAGCATCAAATATCAGTTTTTTCGGTGTCTTTTAGCAAAAGTGACAGTTTTTGTGTATCCTGTGGAAAATTTTCCGTTGTTGGTATGGAAAGGACAGAAACCTAAGCTAACTGAGCAATACCAAAGAAATTCAAACATTTAACTAACATAGCTATACCGCTATAGCCAAAAAGAAATGAAACAGCACTACATCCAACATTTTCTTAATTTTGTCAGTAGAGTTCAGTTCTGTATCACGATTTACTCATTCAATTTCAATTAATATAATATCCTCAAAGTGACAATTAGATATCGTAAATTGGGGGCTAATATGAGCTCCTGTTTTGTAACAAACCTTGGCTTTGCAACCACTATGTCCTTAGGAGACACAATGTAATACAAAGGTTCATCGCCAGCAGCCCACTGTCCACCTGCATTGCTACTTCCTGAATGATTGGACAAAAGAATCAGGGTTCCTTCATTAGAAAAGTTCCCATCAATAAGAAAAGAAATGTCACTCATGTTAGAGCACGATCAATTAAACCTGAGAAAGGTGCATGCGCAAGAGCATAGTCCTTTGCCTTGTAATGCTCATAACCATGAATAGGCAGAGCATCTGTAGTAAGTTCATCATTTTTCCATGATACAAGATGTATTTCTGGACGCTGTGCAGTTCCCTGCAAAATGTTAGAGACGTAATAAGAACATCAATCTCAGAAGCATCATTTTAGAAGCAAAGGTATATGGTATACAATGCAGATGTAACAGATATTTAGAGGTATGATGATTACCTGTCGTGAAGTAACAGAAGTACTAAATGTTCTCTCTTTTTTTGTCCTCGTCAGGAATATAGGCAAGTACAACTAAAAGGTCACCAAATGGAGCAATCCCAGATATGTGGTAACCTGTTTGGAATGAGCCTACAACGTCCACATACTTCTCAGAACTAGCTGTGGTGATAGTCCTTTGTAGGCCATTGAATCCCTGAGATAAATCTGTTCGAATCGCTGCAATCTTGACACTTGTTCCCCATCCAATAACTAAGACTGTATCATCCTAAGTAGGCAAAGATCAGTTAACACAACGTGTACTTTTATATCAAACTATAAGAAAAGAAAATTTTAGAAGTATGTCTTGGGAGTCAGACACGCTAACAACATGAATAATTTCATATCAACCAGAAAATAACATGGTTACCATGCTCCTTGACACAATTTAAAGTATGATCAATTCATTAAAAATGGGTGTGTCGTGTGTTTTTCTCTGTGTTTTGTGCCTCTGGCTAATATCCTGTCTTCCACACACCAAAGGTAAGAGCAAATATTTGACTTATTGCACATATCACCAAAACTTTCAACTTCACAAAAGTCTTTTGCTTTTGCACCCTTCTAACAATATTTTACTTATATGCTAACAAAATTGACATTTACCAGTTGAGGTATATATGATTATATGGTTCAACTAAACTACGCATAATCCATATATAGATATAAAGATATAATTACCTGCCAGACTAGGTGGGGAAGCAAGAACTCTGGTCGAGGAATGCCTTTTGGTCTCTCTATGAATGCAATTCCTTTGTCTGTCCTCATATCATGCACTTTCACCCCTGCATCGTTAGCCCAAGCAAGAAGGTCCGCCCTCACTTCATCGAATGGATTGGCCCTTCACCATCACATAAAACCTACATAACGATCGAGCAAGAGATGAGATAACCATTAGAGGTCACTAGATGCATCAGATCTATTATCCTAAAAAACCCGAACTTACCTTCTTATGGTAACCTCCCCAAGACTTCTTTGTCAACACAAGTACTTGGCCTGCCAAACCACCAGTAGCAAATCCTCTATAGTTCCGGGCATAATTAGGGTCTAGAGCCATTGCCTTCATGGGGCGATGGTACTCAAACTTTAGTTTTCATCAGTGAAGAGGCTGTTTATTGCCACTGTGCCATCATCTGAGCAGCTTCCTATATATTCACCGTCCCCATCAAAACTTATGTCATTGATAGTTGCTGTGTGTGCAGCAATTTCTTTCACCTATATACAAAACATAAATAAAGCACAATAAGATGAAACCGATGCATATTATCAGCACACCAGTGTAGCATTTCTACAGATTGAATCTACATGGAGTGACAAAGTCATTGGATCACACGCTTTAGTTTTGCATATCATGTGTCGTTATTTGGCTCCATAGCTTCTGCAACCATAAGAATGTGAAATTCGAATCAGAACAATACTACAGTAGTGTGATCATTATTACCAAAAGTCCAAAACTATATGCATCACATGATTTCAAGCTGCGATGAAGGAAGCTAGAAGCAACCCCAATTCTGTACATCTACGTGTCTCCAGCAACCGTGGGAGCGTCTAAAGCCAAGTCAGTTTCGGAGATAAAATCCCTCAAAGCTCCAATCATTGAACAGGCAAGTAGTTTTGACCCAGCAAGCATAGAGGAAGCTCCGAGAGCAGTCCCAATGCCACGATCCTGTCTCCCTCCAACCCCCGTCCCCATCACAAGCCCCAATTCCGCGAGGAGAGCGCGCCCTTTGGCGAGGAGTACCTGGTTGCCCTGGAAGTCGAGGATGTGGAGGGTGCCGTTGTGGGTGCCGAGCGCAACCATGCGGTCGGCGACGGCGATGGCGGCCGCGGCGTCGGTGGAGAGGATCGCCGGCACGCTCCCGCCCAGACGCTGGTACTTGAGCCGCGGCTCCTCCTCGTCCTCCTCCTCCGCCTCGTCATCGCCCACTTCCTCCTCCTCCTCCTCCTCGCGTTCGTCGTCGCCCCTCGCGCCGTTCTGCAGCGGCGGGTGGGCGCGCCGCGCGGGCGCGGTGGACATCCTCTCGCCGCCGGCCGGCCCCGCCCGCCCGCGAGATCTCCCGTTCCGAGACGATTTCCGGCGAAGCCGAGGGCCCGCGTGTAAAAATTGCTTTTGTTTCGGTGTCCGTCTATCAATTTGTCGTGAACGCCTTAACTAGTCGAGTGAATGATCGAGTGCAGCCGAGCCGGGTCCGTCTGGCGTACGCGTACACGGTCGAGCCAGGACCCAGGAGAGCCATGCGCCGGGGCCGGGCCTTCGGCTCGTGGTCGTGGTGTGGCTGCTGGGTGCTGGCCGGCCGGGGGGCTGAAATTTTTTTTTGTCCTTTTTTAAAAACAAGTTTTTTCACAAATATGCTCTGGAGTTATGATTTCAAATTCTAGACCTTTAGCTTGGCGCTGGAGTAATTGACGTCGAGCTTACACGTATCGGTCCCGGTGTATATGGCGCCTAGGTTTTGGGCCACGTAGACGTCAATGGCCATGTTCGCTTCTCTTATAATCCGTCTTTTCAGCTTGTTTTTTTAGCCGGAACAGTGTTTTTCTCTCACAACAAATCAGCCGGAACAGTGTTTCGGCTTGTTTTTTCAGCGAAGCGAACGGAGTCAATGAAAACATGGCGGTGACCTGGCAGGCACCTTGGCGCCACAGATCTTGGCGCCGAGCTTGTTGTCGTAGATCTTGGTGCCGAGCCCGGCGCCAGATATTTTGGCGCCGTTCCGACCTTACAGGTGGGTCCGTTTTCTCTCTCCTCCTTCCTCTCCTCTCTTCCTCTCCCATTCTCTCTCTCACACGGCGCTCCGCGCCGGTAGGCGAGCCCGCCCCGAGCACAGGCGTCGCGGCCGGCCGCGCCCCGCCCCGCCTCGTGCCCCGGCCGGCCGCGCGGCCGCCACGGCCCATGTCCCGTCCCACGCGTCGGCCCGCCGCGCACCCTGGGCCGTGCCCCGTCCCGCTCGCCAGCAAGCCGCGCGCCTCAGACCACCGAACCCCGCGCATCGTGCTGCGCCGCGCCGGCGGGGAGTCCCCGGACGCGCCCATCCCCACCCCACGCGTCGAACCGCGAGGTGCCGTGCCCCGCACACCGGCGGCGCGCCCCGGGCCGCGCCCCGTCCAGCTCGCCGGCTAGTCGCTCGTCGGCTAGTCGCGCCCCGCCCTGCGTGCCTCGGGCCGCCGAGCCCCGCGCGCCGTGCTGCGCCGCGCCGGCTGGGAGTGCCCGACCCACGACTGCTGTGCCGCGCCCCACCCCGCGCGCCGAGCCGCAAAGCGTCGTGCCCCGCCCACGACTGCTGTGCCGCCCTACCCGTCATCGAACCCGAACGGCCGCGACAGCGCCGGCCCGTGCTACGCCGCCCTCCCTTGCCCGCTCCACAAGGGCAGCGGGGGCCGTAGGCCAGTAGCGGGGTGCCGTTTGTCTGCCTCCTGTCGCTGCCCGCCCCGCCCTCTTGGCCACTCCGGTTGCCGGGCGGGTGCACGCGTGGGCGCACGACAGCTTCCCTGCCAGCCGTCTCTTGTCGACCGGCTGCGCCTCCCTTGCACTTGAGGTACATTAGTTTTAAAATTTTGTTATTTTATCGTGGTTATTAGTTGGTTAGTGTAGTAGTGATTGAGATAGGTAGAAAGATATTTAGATTGATAGGTTGATTGATGGATACTTTACATAGTTAGATATATAGTTAGTTACATAGTTATATAGTTAGTAAGATAGTTAGTTAAATAGTTATATACTTAGTTACATAGTGATTGAAGTCTGAAATCGAATAGGCTTTTCAGTCATGAAATCTATGAGAAATAGCCTTTATAGTGATTTGTTATATCACCGTTGAATATATTTTTCAGTGTCCTTCGAAATAGTGATTGAAGTCTGAAATCGAATTGGCTTTTCAGTCATGGAATCTAGGCTCTCCAGTGTCCTATGATGTAGGCTTTTCAGTGATTCTGAATAGACTTTTCAGAAGCATTTACAGCACAACACAACGGCTAGCAAACCTGCCTCCGCTTATATATATGCGTTCTAGAATGCATTACTAACCAAAAGAAAAACCAAACTAGTATTCGATTTTGTTGGAGTAGAAATGTCTGGAGAGTCATCTAGAGTAAAGGGGTTCGGGAGTGGGAGAGGAAAAGGGGGACAATGGGAACTCCCATTATGTGGGAGGGGTCTCTTGGGTCTGATTTCTTTAAGGAACCAGTGTATCAGTTTTCCCCCAATAGCAAGAGTGATTTTACTAAAGAGTGCCCTCTCAGAGGATACGATAACATGAAGAAAGATTGGTCAAAATACATGCATGGTGAGGACTGCTTAGTGCAGATATTCACCGAGGGGATCGACGGAGGTCTTTGCTTCTTCAAATGCCGACGATCATGGGTAATTGCTATTACATTTCGTTTGTTAAATACATTTCTCAAATACCCTTACAACTCACAGGACATACTTATTGTAGTCTTCTGAGTCCGAAGAAAATTGTGGGTTCACTAGGTAGGTCGATCCTCGACCAATTTATCCGCATCAGCAGTACATCTACTATCTACAGGACCAAATCTTCGATCTACAAAGAGAAGTTAGCAGCGGGTATAAGGAAGACGAAGACGACGACGACGACGACAACAATGGTGCAAGTTCACAGGAGACACTCTGCAATGATTCATATTGCACCTGCCCAAATTACAAGAACAAGGGGCCTCCACCGTCACCCCCGTCGCCACCACCAACAATAATGGGAGGCTACTGTGGAGAAGGTACAACACAATTTGCTATATGACCACACTATTAGGACGATTCAATCTTATTCACATGGCACATCCATGTGTTTGTTGTTTAGTTTAATTATGTAAGGTATGTTAGATTTAGTCGAAGTAACTATGTACCATTGTTTAGTACATGTTCTCACATGCCATTTCTTGTGCTTGTTGTTCGCTTTAATTACCTAAGGCATGTTGGGTTTAGTTCAGGACCTCTGTACCCTAGTTCGATACACGTTCTCACATGCCATTTCATGTGTTTTGTGTATTGAATTATATAATGCCCTACTTCGTTAGGTTTTGTTTGCAGCACGTGATCATATTTCACTACGTCCGTAATATTAAACTGAATATTATGACCACAAATAATGAAAACAACTACCTAATGAAAAGTCCAAAACTATGACACATTAAACAACACATTAATACTAGAAGTACGTATCGACAAACTAAATAACGCAGTACATGACCTAAGCATGCCCATACTTAAAGTGCATTACATGACAACACAATAAAAAGTCCAGCAATAAACAACATTGTTCATGAATAAACCATAGAACTAGCAAGTAATGGAGACTACAGAGTGCAACGAGGCAACTTTCCCTTCCTCAGGGCATCGAGATTCTCCTCCATCGCTGTTTTTGTTTGATGTGCACGCTCAAGCTTCTTCTCCCTCTCCTCCCTGTACGTAGCAACAAGCCTCATTTTCTTCTCTTTCTTGTGCTCCTTTTCTACAGCCTACTCTCTGCGTATCTTCTCCATCTCCTTATCCTCTGCTTCCCACCACAACAGTTCTGTATCTATTTCTTGTCTTCAGGCTTGATCTTAGTGTCGATCCACTGCTCAAAATCATAGAGCGGTGGAGGGATCTGTAAAAAATATAATTGTTACAAAACAAAAAAATCATGCAAGATGTCATATGACACAAACATCAATTTCCTCACCATCTTGTTAATGCGGCGCTGACGAAGTGTAGGCTCAAACGCAAAATTGGAACACATCCAATACCTCTGTCTATACGTGTCCTCTTCATCGGACTTGGCTACCTTGCAAGGATCGCCGCAAAAGCACATGGGTACTGGAACACCACTAGGCAGAGGCAATGGATCGAAGGCATTTTCGGTCATCCGACCAAAACTACAATTTAGCCATTTTTGTTCTACGAACCGAAAACAATTAATATTAAACCCTACACCTAAGGTTTCTCATTTGATCCACAACAATGAACCCATATTATAACAGCGTGCGCTGATGTTACCTTGGTTTGGTAGCTTTTTCACGCCTTAGCACCCTACGGTTGTATAATATAAATATTAAAATTACGTGAAATCCTAAGTAATAACGATTCTTAAGTTAAAAAATCCGACTAATATATACTGAACCAATTTAGAAAAAAAACTAGGAGGTAGCGAGGATACCTTGTTCTCGAAGATCTACGGATCAAATCAAAATTTTCAAGGTCCAATATGTCGAATCGTGGGGTAGGACGAAGTGGGGAGAGAAAAAAATCCGAGAGGGAGAAGAAAGAAGAGGAAGAAAGCTCGGGCAAGAAGGTTGGATGCCGGGTTAAAACACTACCTCGGCGCCATAGATCTTGATGCCGTTCTCGACGCCAATAACCACGGTGCCAAGCTCGGCGCCAAGATCTATGGCGCCAAGCTCGGTGCCAAGATCTACGATGTCATGGTGCCTGTCAAGTCACCGTCACGTCTACGCCAAGCCCAAGACTTAGACGCCAAAATCTATAGCGCCGAGACGTGTAAGCTCGGCGTCACCAACAATAACGCCGAGCTAAGATCAAGATTTTAAAATCATACCTTAATATATATTTGTGAAAAACTTTCCTAAAAAAAAGGCTAAAAAAAATCGGCCGGAGGGGTCGGCGGTCGGGTCTCCATCGGTTTCGAGTGCTGGACCTGGACCGCGAGGAGTGGGTACACGTGGGCCTCCAGGAGCTTCTGGCTCGGTGGATCCCAGCAATTAAGAATGTCATCGTCTCGCCATTGACGTTGTTTCTCGCTGATGTTGGCAAACAGTAAAGCAGTTGTGTCACCTAAAGAAGGTAGTACACACTTCGGGAAGGATCAGACAAGCTACAGCTATCTCAGTTTCGCCTGTTAGCCCCGTTTGGCCGGGCTCTGGGCAGCTCTGGCTCCCGCTGCCAGATCACCGTAGCTGCACTATTCACCAAAGTCATTTTTCTCTCTCCTTCTTTTCCCTCTCACTGGCACCATAGCAGTTGGAGAAGCTCGTTTTTTCTCACGTGGCTCCAGCTACAGTATCGCTACAGTGTAAGAGCCGGAGCACGCGGGAGCCCGGTCAAACAGGGCCTTAGTACCTACACTAGATTCTAGGAAAAAAACAATATTCATGCACTCTCTCTTAATAATAAAAAAAACGTGATTGTGGTCGTTAAAAAAACAAGTTTTTTCATATGGAAACTGGCATATGCTAGCAAAAACATGCTTGGACACGGGGGAGTGATCTTGCAGTACCAGATGAGCCGGCGAAGCGAGCAGTGTCGTCGGATAAGTAGGCGTTAGAGCATCTATAAGAGACTCTTCATATCCTTTCTAATTGCTAGAATAGAGATTTTGATAAAAAAAACTAACCTTCAACAGCTTTTCTAAATAGTCATCCAAATATAGCCATCTTTTATTTCAGATTTTTCGCTACCAAAAAATAAAAGACGAGAATGACTCTTTAAAATGCGCATGTGATATAGAAAACTGGTGAAGACTAAAAAAAAATATAGAAAATGATTTTTATATAAATAACTCTTCCAATAATAATTTAGAAAGGCTGGGGTAGATGCTGTTAGGCACGCGCGCTCTCTACCTTTCGGCGTTTCGATGGCGATCCGGACGGCGGACGTTGTCAAAACGACGCAGCAGAACGCGTCACGGAGGCACCGACCTTTTTTTTTTTGAGAATCACGGAGGCACCGACCTGTTTGAACTGAAAGCAACAGCGCCACGAGCCTTTTTTTTTGTGACCGTCCCCAACTTTTTTATATACAACTGACGGCTCTTGTCCACGGGGTCAATGAGATGACACCAGATCTCCTCCACGGCTACTAGATTATTTTGACATGGAATAGGAGGATTAAGGAATGCTAACAACATGGGCCAAGGAATACTGATGGGCTAAGCGGGCCCGTTGGTTCAGCTGGGCTACGCGGGTTGCTTTGGTGGCGCGACGTGCCAGACTTGCCAGTCTGCCAGGGCGAGGAGAACGGAGGCGGCGCGACGGTGACCATGCCCGACCGACCGTCCGACACGGCGCGCCGGGCGCCGGCGTGATCTCGACGGAACCGCTGCCAATGCCAAGTGGTAGAGCCCGCCCGTGAGGCCGTGAGCCGTGCCCGTGGCCAACTTGCCGCCGCGGCCGGTGGGCCGGAGCACCGGGGACGCCGCGCACGTTCCAACTTGGCGGGCCGTCGCGCCGGTGCCGTGGTCCACGCCGAGCTGCTACTGCTTGCAGCGTAGCATTGAGCGAACATGCGCCTAATAACTAACCGCTCGGTCCGTTCCCTCTGCTCTGGTCCTGGCTCGGCAAGGCTCTGCAAGACTGCAAGTCTGCAACCGTCCGTCGCCAAGGGGCCTGTGCTGCGTGTCGGCGACCGTGCCGGCCGTGGATTGAGTGATTGACCGTCCAATGTGTCCATCTGGAGCTTGGCTGGGCCTGCGCTCGCACACACTCTGGAATCTGGACTCTGACCCTTGTTGATTCATTCCGGAGTTCCTGGTAAAAGCTGCTGCAGTCTACTGGCTTTTCTGACAGTAACTCACCTGCTCAAAAAGGTTTCACTTTCACAGCGCAACGAGGGCGGCAACGGTAAAAACTTTACACACCTCCCGTTCTTGCTGAACTGAACATATGTCACTCCACTCACTGCCAACGCAACACAAGGTAAAAAAAAGGACGATCGAACCAATGCTCCATCAACCAAGCAATCAGCTTTACAAAGGGATCAATAGGAAAATCGCAAGCTATATGTGACAATTATACCAGAAACACTCAAAAAGAAGAACAAAAAAGAACGAAGTTACTGGCTTACTGCTCCATCCCCCCGTCACCGTCAGCAGAGCCTAGGCAAGCCCCTGCCGCTGGTCTGGTGGCAGGAGGCGGCGCCGGCGCCGAAGGAGAAGGACTTGCCCTTGGCCATCCTGGACATCTGGCCCTTCATCTCCTTGCACGCCCGCTCCAGCTCCACCACCCGGCTCTGCATCCTCTGCAGGTTCAGCCGCATCAGCTCCTTCTCATCGTCGTCGCCGCCGCCGAGGTCCACGCTGTGGGTGGCGCGGCGGGCGACCCTCCTCCTCGGCGTCTGGGACTGGGAGCAGGTGGACGGGTCGCTGATGTGGAGCTTGCACTGCTGCGACGCCAGAGCCTGCACCGCCACGCCCGGCGGGATCCGCCGGTTCTTGGCCAGGTCCTTGCACGCCTCCAGCGTCAGCTTCTCGTAGTTGAGGCACCGGCACAGCGTCGTGCGCTCCTCCAGGGATAGTGCTGGGTGCGACTGCATTCATTCATTCAGAACGGCAGAGTTCAGAGCAGAGTTTGCAAAAATGCATCAGTTTCGATACTACTACTACTACTCTCTGCGTAAACTTTGCTGATTCTGGTGATCAAAATGTGAGTTTTTTAACGGAAAATGTTAGAGTAAACCATTCAGAAAGCATTGGAAAATGTCAAACCATCAGCAGAAAAGGTAGAAAAGTGCAGTGCACAAGAACTATTCAGTGCTTTTGGTGTGTCTACTCTGACCATGCTTGTATTGAACAAGGAAAAGCCGTGGGTGCGAGGGAAACTACAGTGCACAAACACAAAGGAAGGTGATGATTAAAGAAGATCCATTTGATCATGGAAAGCATCAAAGGCCAGGCTAAAGGCAATCTGGCACAAGGCCCGCTGATGAAAGGCTCCCGAGGCACCACTAGTAACAAATAAACAAAGCCGGGATCTTAGTTGTAAAATAACCAGAGATCAAGGCAGCGGAGAACCAACCAACTCGATGGGCTCATGACGAGATGGATCAAAAGCGCCCTGCAAACAGGGCAAAAGGCTAAAGCTACGTCTGCATGCATGCAGGTAAAGTTTTTACCCGCCATGTCAGAGAAAAGAACTTGCTGAACTGCTAACTCCATCCATATCCTACCCATTCACAGCAGAGAATGTATGCAGGTTAGGACTGAATCACTGATGATATGGCGAGATGTGCCACAGTGCCAGACTACTGGTTTCCTGTGAGAAGCAAAGTAATCATTTTAAATTAGTTCATCACTGGCTTTATTTTAAGTTAAATGTCGCTAACTTTGATTATGATTTTAGAAATTATATTATATCTACATGTTCAAATCTATCAGAATATATTAGATGAAGAATTTTGATGATATAGATTTGATGTTCCAGCTGTTGTGGATTTTTCTACAAACTTGATCAAAGTTAAACAAGTTTTTTTTAAGAAGAAACTGGAGGGGCCGAAGCCCCTACAGAGAAGCTTTATTACCAGCAGAACAAGTACAAGAAAGGGGGGCTTAAGAAAAGCCAAAGCTAGGCTAATCTAAACTAAACAGTAAGGTTGACTTAAAACAAAGACAAAGTGAACTAACTTGTAACTGGAGAATGGTATATGCCACATAAATTCCTAGTAAGGTGAAGTTTTATTTTCGAACAGTTATGTAAGTTCAATTGGTAGACATTAATGGAAGGTTCCTTCAGAGTTTCAGACAACTAATGGCAAAGCTTGCGGGTTTGATGAGCCAACAGCACACGCTTGCGCGGTGCAAAGGGCTAAAGGGGTCGCAAATTAAAGGTTCCCCCCATAACCAAAGTACCAGACGATCTATCTGTCCATCATTAGCATCCCATGATAGTACTACTGCCGAACTTTATTCAACTGCTTTGTCATAGACTAGACGAGGAACAGTCACCAACAAATGGGAGAAATTAAAAAAGAAATCTGCAATGTCTGAACGTAGATCGGAAGATGCTGGAGAGACAGTATCAGTGTCGTCGGGCCTGTTTGCTTCACACCCTAGCAAATTTATCTGATCAATCCCAGGCTTTCAATTTTTTATCCCTAGCACAATGCACATCCTTCTTGATGTCTGCTACCATCGTAGCGACTCTCAGTCAGGACCCACCATGACTCCATGAGGCCAGAGTAAAAACTGGCGCCAGGTGAAAGAAGTCTTGCAGCAAAAGCTGGCAAATACAGAACCCTAGCATTTGGTTCCTCAGAATTTTCGAAAATTCAGAATGTGAATCTGGAAATCTGCGAAGGGTATTCTGAATATTGCGAAGGGTAAGAGTAAATTTCAGCAGTATAATTTGTAAAGTATCCATTTTTTCTCTGTTTTTTTTTATTTTACTATGGTACGATAAAGGAGTACCGCCATATCTGCCCCTAGGACCCTATGATAGGCTACTCAATAGCCTGAAGCTTTCAGCCATCATGTCCGAATCATGATCCCAAACAGTAGCAGGCAGTACTACGAAACGAATCCACTACCAGTACCAGGATGAAAAAAATGTCAATGTGTTCACTGGAGAAATTAATTTTCAGCTGATGCAACTTCAGCAGTTATTTGACACGGGCCACACGGCCCCTTAATCAAGTTCGAAATGAAATTAATCGACTTGTTTTTTAGATGATGATTGATGGACTAAAATTCTGTTCTTTGCATCTTTGGCAGTATCGCACTAGCGGAGTGGTAAAGTTTACCTCGAGGTAGATGTCGAGCGCCCTGTACACGCCGTCATAGCAGTCCCTGGCCGAGTCCGGCAGGCTCTCGGCGACGGCGAGAAACTTGGACACCTTCAGCCCGTGGTCCGGCGAGATTTCCCCGAGGTACTTGTCGAGCAGGCGCCCCACCTTCCGCATCCTCTGCGACGGCGCGTCGGCCTCCTCCTCGGAGGCCACGAACACCCTGACGAGCCTCATGACCAGGTTGACGTCGTACACGCCGCCGTCAT